AACTATTTGTTACATAAACGTGACAAGGTTTTTTTTTAACTATTTGTTACATAAACGTGACAAGGTAGTTTTTAAACTTTGATATATAAATATGTTAAGATAGTACTGCAGTAGTTGAACAGTTTGAAAGAGAAATGTTAGTGTTTAAGATTAGTATGAACTTTATAATAAATTTTGCTTTACTTGCTTGAAAAGTTCATGTATTATAAGATTTCTCCAAAGATATTTTTTTGGTAAAATTCATGTAGAGGTTTACTTTGAAATCATTGGTGGAGAAAAAGACTCATATCTCCACACTTTTCAATCTATACAAGATTGTTTTTTTTCTATGTAGTTTTAAAGCTGATAATGATGAGTTTCATTTTTGTGATGTATTTGGTTGTGCATTGATCTATTAATTCCTCAACTGAAAGAATATTGATAATAATGTGTTTAGGTTAAGGAGTGTATATTGAAAATACATTAAGTCTAAAAATTGTTTATTTTTCATGTCATTTTGGTAAAAACTCATGGATTTTCCGTTTTAGATCTGAAAGGGTAGTGTCTTGTAATGACTGTTTTCACAGAGGCCGTAACTGTGGGGGCAAACATACCGTGATTAATCCTTTTTCTCGCACCAAAAAATCTGTTTTGCCAAGGTAAGCTAGCACTACAAGACATAGATATTAACTCTCTCACTACAAATTTGGTCAAATCAACTGACATCATAACCATTTTTCAAGTGTATCTTCATAAAATTTGGCATACTTTTAGTAAACATTACAAGTCTTTTGTACACAAGATATCAGATTTTTTATTGAATTATTTTGACTAATAATTTATCCATGAATATATATAGTCTGAGTACTAAGTGATTTCCACATTATTATTAAAAATACCTTTCTTTTTATTTACATAATCTCTGAAACTTCCTAAATAAATTTCTAACATCTTTTTTTTCAGTAAAAGTTTATATTGTATCTGTTATTTTCTCTACTCTATCTTTATACAAGGTTGGTCAATTTGACTGACCTCATAACCACCAAAAGTAAATGAAATTAATCTAAATTATCCTTTTTTCTTTCTAGAATGACTTCAAATTGTAATATGAAACTACATTTGTTTATCCAAAATAGCTTTAAACTCATAACAGTATACATATATTTATACTTAAATTTTATTGTTTTATTGCCCTTTGAACTCTGTCTAGCTACTAATATTGCCATTATAAGTTGTAAATCACTTGGTCTTACGCTATCGAATTAAATTATGCATGAGCTGTTCGAGAGCATCCTTGTGAAAAAAATTTATTATTATTATATATTTCACCTAATCTAACCTTAACTAACATAAAAAATTTCTTGTCTTTACATTTTAGTTACTTTTATAATAGTAAATAACGAAAATATGAAAAACAAGAAAAAAGTTCTTTCCTGGACCTTTTTTTTTTTGCTATAGGCTATTCATCACACTTAACCCTACTTTTTTATATTAATGGTAGTACCTCATTAAATAATGTTTTTAACTGAATAATGCACCAAAGAAAACAGAATACTAACATGCAAAAAGTAGACAATATCCCATAATTTTTATGGTTTTTCTATCGAGTCAACAAGAGCTGTTGAAACTTCATCTAAGATTGTCAAGGTGTTTCACATAGGAATCAAGTTTGAACTGAAAGTGAAACTGACTGTTCTTCTTATAGAAAACAATGTAATATAATATGTCATTTGACAGATGAAAAACTTGACTTTCTATTGGTTATAAATAATATAATATTGATCGTCAAAGAGAGAAATATTGGCAATTTCTGAAAGAGAGAATATGACAGGTGAGCTTGGCAAGAGGGGTATGGTTGTCTATTTCATGGCTCTGTAACCAAATAAAATTGAAGGCTATAAACATTTGCTTTGCTTGAGTGATGATGATATTATAATAAGTAATTTATATTAAATTTCATACTTCTTGGAAGGGTGGTACATAAATTAGAGAAGAGGGGATACCTAGAGAGCAAATGTCACAATTCTGACACTAGGCAGAAATTGTAATTTTTTTATATTGTCTTATAAAAATAAGAACTTAAAACTTATATACTATTAAGATATGAATTATTAGCTATGTTTTTATGGGAAAAAAAGTAGTTTAATTAAATTTTCAATGTAACTCACTTAGCTCATGACATGTGCAAAAAAAGATATCTATGGCAAAAGGGTTAATATTACTGAGCATAACTAGGTTTTTCTTTACATTTTCATGAAAGAAATGATTTACAAAGTTCAGTATTAAACTATGTATTTTTATTTGTATTTAGTAATGAATGGTGATTGGAGATGTCTGTCTGACAACAACCAAGTCTAGTGTATAACAAATTATATCTCATGGTGTAATCTGTGTTATGTATGTATTATAAAGTGTTGAGTAAGATCAAGGCTTCAATTTTAAAAACCTAACCATTTCACTGTTATTATTGTGAGTCACTTGTATTGACTGCCCAGCTCATAAGATTGCATCTAAAACATTATTAGTTTCATAATCTAACTTAAGTTTTATTATCTCAATATCTTTTTTTGTTCTTGTAAGAAACTTGTATTGTTTTATTTCATAAATTTTGCCAAGCTACACAAAAGCTCTCTGTATATAGCTATCCCTAATTTTAAATTGTATCATATGGAATATTTAGACAAAAGTAAAGCTAGATATTATTCAGATATTTAAGTAATGTAAAATTGTTCATTATCATTATTCTGTTTAAGAAAAAAAAATTAAAATGGTAACTGTTTGCTGTTTTACCTGCATTAATAATTTGATCTTCTATTTCAGTTTTCTCACACCTCCACCTTACACGTAAGTTTGTTTATATCACATTGTATACAGTTATGTTGAAGTTAATGTAGATCAAATAAGATGTTACACCTAATATTGGAAGTAATATGTTAAAAGATGTATATGCACATCATCTTTCTAGCTGGTATTACGTTTAACTTAATGTAAGCTAATTCAGGTTCTATGCCTATTATTAGAAGTAACACATTAAACAATGTGTATCTAGAAATCATCTTGTTAACTAGTGTTATGTTTAACTTAATATAGGCCAAATAAAGTTCTATGTTTAATGTTAGATGTAATATGTTAATAAAATCACCTTTAAAAACTATGGTAATAATTTATTAACTTGGTGAAATTTCGAGCAAATGCTCTTTTTCAAGCCAGAAACAAGCCTGTCAGTTAATGACAATTACAGGAATGTTTTGAAATGAAACAATACACAAAGCAAAATGTAACACGAGATAGAACTATGAGAATTAACAATATAGTAAAAACAATATAATAGAGCAGGTGATTAAAAAACAACAACTTTACATAGCAAAGAATGAAATAACTTAGACATTTTAAGTCTTTTCAACCCGTGACTGACCTCATAACCATTTTGTGCTTGTTATAGTTTTCATGCTTTTACTTTTAAATTGGTAATCAAATGTTAACGAAATGTGGTAGTTTATCAGTAAACATTACAATGCTTTCATATGCAAAATATCTAATTTTTTAATTAAGTCTTAAGGTTTGTAAAGCAATGTTTCTTTCTTGCCTTTTTTTCTTTTAACATCTTGCCTATCTTTTATGCATTAGAAAATTTTGAAATTTCACATGCGAAATCTTTATAATGTTCAGATAGTTATCAAACATTTCTTAAGAAAAAACTTCATAGATTTGACCGATCTCGCAACCAACATAAAAAATTAGGATATAAAC